GTTTAATGTTTTGCTTTTTTGTGAACAAAGAAAAATTTGCAGTTTCCTACATCACCCCAATTCATTCTCCTCCCAAGGTTACTGTTATAGTTTGGATAAAAAACATCCCCCAAAGGCTCATGCTTAGAAGGTGAGGCTTCTGGAAGGGAATCGGATAATGAGGGCACTAAAGTCACTGCTGATAAGTTTAGATCTAAATATGCTATTAGGAGTTGGGGGAAGTGGGTTCCGGGGGATGCGACCTGGATGGGTAAGTAATTGTCCGTAGCCCTTTCCTGTCTTTCCAGGCTCCTACTTTTTCTCTGTGTCCAGTCACCATGAAGTGAGCATCTTTCCTGTGCTACACCTCTCTGCCACGATGTTTCTGCCTTGGAGCCAGCCAACAATGATCTGAAACTTCTGAACCTTTAAGCTAAAATAACCCTTTTCTCCCTTAAATTGTGCATGTCAGATACGATACCTCAGTTGTCGAATAGCTCCAAGCTTTACTTTTCGCTACTCGAACAGCAAAGTTTGAAAAATATCTACTCATTATTCATAACTTTGCTCGATGGTCTGACTGAAAATCCGGCTTGGAAAAATCACTATGGGCCGAGAGTGAGTCACTCATTTTGTCTTACCACGGACACAAAAGGGTGTGACACTCCAGTCTAAGCGCTGCTCTTGCCCAAACAACATGCAGTGTAACCCCCTTGAGGTTCCGAATTCATGGCCTCAGTCCTTCCCAGATTTCTCCTAAGAACCTAATAATTGTTTGTGGGAACCCCAACAATTTCACAGAAACCACAAATATCCTCCTTGTGTTTTTTTGGCTAGAGGTTTGCAAGTAGCCAATCCGAGAGCGTCATTCAGTTCTCCTTGCTGCTGATTGGCTGTTGCCCTGTAACCTATGGGGGCAGATTCATCAGCATCCAGCCTCATAAATGGGGTGCTGTACTGCGGGTGTCTATGGCCAGTGTTCTCGGCCCCAAGATCCCTAAGATGCTGCCAAAATGTCCTGTGCCTTCTAAGGCTTTATTAATACACTATTTTACCAAATTAAGTTACGGAGCTGTGGGAAAGATAGCATACTTAGGGTTTAAACTACAAAAATAGGCATTTTCCTGACCATGTCTGAAAATTTTGGTTCTTCACAATGCACATGTGCTCTAGGAACCTAACCCCTGCGAATTTTGAGAGTCCACTGTATAGTGTTTGTATTAGTGCATTAAAACATCCATCACTTTGCTTGCTTTTGCACTTTGTGTAAAATATCATAACCATAATTCCAAAGAAAGTTAATGATACCAGCAGTAAAGCTAAGAGGAAAACTGTGAGAACCACAATAGAATTAAAGTAAGAAATCATTGCAAATTTTGTTAAAGTCCCAAAAAAATACGTAACTTTTGCACCCCAGAACCAATTATTGGGTTTTCCGTTATTTCTTATGGGAAAAATATGTTCAGTTCTTAAACTTTTCAGTGTCTGAACATGAGTTTGGAATGAATAGAATTCAACAGCAGTTAATGCCACACATTAGCTTTTTTAAAGTTTTGCCTAAGATGACTTATGTAAATGAACTGAAGGGTTTTTTTGGTTCTTGTTGGTTTTTTTTTTTTTTTTTTTTTTC